AGTCTTGCCTTTCTGTAGCCTTATCTTCTGCCCCGTGATGGGACATGCAGCCCACTTCTGAAGAGCTTTTTGGAAAGCAGCAGCCAAACAGGGGCCACAGGGCAGAGTAATTATCCTGGGGGGCTATAAGCAAACGCAGGCGGGGCCTCTCCCACCAGGTGTTTGGATGCTTCGGGATTGCAGAGCCTACCACTGACATGGCCGTGAAAGAATTGTGGGGACAGCGTGAGGAAATGAACTGAGGTGTTTTAAATTTCTGACAGTTTGCTGATAATTCATTGCCTAGACCAAACATCCTCAGTTCTTGCTGCTTCTGTGAAAGCTGTGGCAGATTTCCTAAGGGTTTTCTTGTCCCTAGAGTAGGTACACTGGCTAGCAACATAAAGACTTTTTTAAAAAATAAGTATATGTTGCAGCTTTGAGAACTATTGATCCAGCACAGTGTTGGTGTTTGTTTTCCTTTTGGAAAAGCGGAAACATGAAATAGGGGAGGGAAAGGAGTGGCAGGGAAAAGGGTTTTGAAAGGGTAACGCTCCCTGCTGCTGTCCAGAAGAATGGTACAGCAGCATCTTCTCTGCACATCTGTCCTTGGCACAGCGGGCAGCTGCCTGGAGGAGCAGAACAGAGGCGAATTTGAATGGCGCCAGCAAATCCTCTGGACAGAGCGGTAACGTGGGGCGGTTTGTAGGTCGGCTAAAGCCAAGGCTGAACGGGGTTCCAGTTTTAACGAATCGCACGCTGATTGAGAATAAAAGGACAAGAATTTATTCCCACTCATCATATTATGACTAAAATAACTTTTTCCCTGTCAAGCACAGACACAAAATTTTCCTCTAAATCTGGCGAGGGGAGCATGTGCTGCAATACCCTCGTGAACGCTCTCGCGTGAGGTCCGCTGCTGCTTCGTGCTTGCTGGGGTCGTGCCGTGGGCTGCGGTAGAAGCCGCGCACCCCGCTCTGGAAAGGTGCGTGCTCCCGTTCTGCACGGCAGCCGCTACCTGTCTGAACATCGGAACTCATGCTGTCAGGTCCTCGGCTAATGCAGAGGAGCAGAGCTCTTTACACCTACTCCTGATCTGCTCCTCTGTTATTTGCCCTCCTTTACAAAGCTAATACCTACACTGCCAATAGGCATCCTAATATTTACTATAATCCTAATATTTACTAGTGATTTTACAGGTTGCCGATACAGGATTGAACTGCACCCTGAAAAAAGCATTGTGTTGCGGTGCACACTCCTGTGCGTTGTTTTCTGAGAACGTACCTCCTGTTAACCGAAAACTAAAATTGAGTTGCACGCGTCCGAAGGCTGGAATTCGCACGTCTGGGGTAGAAATGCTGCCAGTGCTGGATGCTGCAGTGCTGCCTTGCGTCGCACCTCACGCCCACGCAGAAAGTGTCTGTGGGAGGATCCTGCACTTCTGCGGTTTGCAGGCCCGATACCTACAAAGTCTGCAGGATGGGAGTGGATCGATTAAGCAGAAATCTTTAATTCTTTGAGTTTAGGTTCATTGACAGGGCCGGTTGTTTTTTTCCTCATGCAATCCAAATAAGCCTGGCAAAATCTGCTCCTATTTTCTGTACAAAAGCTGAGCACTCTTTTAAGCGAAATAACAAACTGTATGAGCTTTTATACTAGTTAAATAGGGCAGCTGTTGTTGGAGTGGTGTTCCAGCAACACCCTTTATTTCTTCTTAGAAAGGAGCTCCTGTGTTTTGCAAAGCTCTCCTCTTATCTGTACTCATCTGCACCTGATGCATCTAATAAAAATGCAGCAGATTTCAAATTTGCATACATTATTTTATAATTGGATGCATTCAGGTGTAGGCCACTAAAAGCGTTTGTGTTCAGACAGTGTCGTAGAGAATGCGGTGATGGACACCTTAGATTTTCTCAGACAAGAAGGTGCATTTCATTACAGCGTGGGGGTGGGAACCTGAACCCGAGGGAGGATTAGATGTTTCCGCTGTGCACAGAAAGGATGGCTAGGATTCCCCACCTCTGCCAGTAGCAACAAGCTTATTCTATTTTTATACTGGTTTTTTCCTGTATGCTTTTACCTTAGGTGCACTTCAGTCTCCTTGAACAAGTAGAGACTCTCGATGAAGGGATTGGATTTTCATCATCTCTCTCTGTTACGAATTGTCGTGCTCAAATCTAGGCGGCTGCAGGAGAGGGAAGCATACGCGTGCGTGTGTGTTAGCAAACCGTTTTGCATATTGCTAAAAACATACCTCCCCATGTTTCCTTTGCTGTGTCTTATGGTCTCATGAATGGTCAGGACCATTTCTTAAACAAAATCGTGATGAAAACATTTGGTTTTCACGCAATAATATTTTGCTGAGGAAAGATGAGTCCTTTCCAGATATTTTAACTTTGTTGTTTTGCAGCGTCCATAGTGTTTTGTGTTTTGTTTTTTTTTTTTTAACTCCTGTCTACTGGTACCTGTCCGACTAGTTTCTTTAGGTTGCACACCTAAATGTGTTTTTGGCAGCTCTGTGCGTATCTGGCACGGTACGTGTGTTGAGGGCGGGAGGGAGAATGGCATCCTGGCAATACTAGCTCTGCTTCAGAAGAAAATAGTTACAACTCCTGGCAGGTGATTCCTGATTTGTTATCAAAAGTCACAGGTATTGCTAGTCCTCATAAAAGGCCCAAACCTTTGCAGTTTGGGCTGGCCCCCATGCTTGGCACCTCCCTTGGGAGGAAACAAAATTTAGATGTAGCTGCCTTTTGCTCCGTTACTGCTTCACAGGCAGCAAAGCTGTGAGAGTGAGCTGGGTTGTTTTTCCATTTAATCATCTATGGAATTGCTAATTAAATTCCAATCGCTGGAGCTTTATTAATGATAATGACACGAAAGCTAGGAAAAATGCAGCTTGATTTTTTTTTCCAACTCAGGGCTGAATGTGCAGAACTGACCATCAGAAGGAAACCATTACTGTAATTGTTATTGAGCAATTCAAATCTGGAATTACTAAGAAGCACCTGGAATGCCAGAACATCATCTTCACAGTTGCTTTTCCGTTTATAACCAAAAGCTATTCCTGCAACCTAATTGGCAGACTGTCTTTAAGTGCTTTATAATCCAATTAACATCCAGAACAGTAATAAAGCATTTGAGTAAATGAAAGTCATTTGTCTTTAAATGACTTGCAACGCCGTGTTTGCGGCAAAGGTTATCTGACTGAATTGCATGCTCTATTCAACTGTTACACTGATTACTCGACTTTGGAAGGAGGACGGCTAATCTAACAAAAATATATTGTTCTTAATGAAGGCACGTTGAACAAACTAAACTGCTGAGCGGTTTTCTGGGTTGGCGTAATGGGCCATCATCTGTCCCAGATGCTTGTTGGTGTGTCATTTACAAGACTTTATGACTCTGACTTAAACCGAGTGATAAAGCCAAGGTCAACTGCAAACCTCCTCTAGGCATAAGGTCGTTACTTTGGAGCTGGAGGAAGCGAGCAAAAGCATAAATGCTGGCGCTTCCGTGAGTTCCATCCATCGGTTCTTCTGCCATGCATACCCTTGCCGATGGCTCAAGATGGGGTTTGCGGTGACTGGAATGTGCATTTAGGTTACCGTACTTAATATCACTGGTAGGCAATCCGTGAAGGATCTCCTTTTGGGCCTTTCCTACTTTGCTGCCTGTCACGGCATCCCTGGGTAACGAAATCCGCCATTTTATAACACGCTGTGTGGTAAAGGTACTTCTGCCTGTTTGCAGAATGGGCCGCCTGGTGATTTCCGAAGGCGGAAGGAACTGTAGGGGGGTCACCTTCTGAGCGTGCAGGCTGCCGCCTTTTCTTCCTTTGCATGAGCTGGGCGACCCGAGGGCAGCTGATGGCAGAGGGTGCTGTAAGGCTCTGAGGACATCACGGTCATGAGGAGATCAATGAGGTCAGAAACGGGTTCCATTTACCCTGCCAGTGGGCAGCTTTACTGAGAGAAACAGCATCTGATTTCGGTGGCTGTTCTTCTCCCTGCTCTATCATATCGTTATTTGAAATAATCATGTTTCTGCGTGAAGTTTCTTCATGGTTCACTTGTACCAACAGATGCTTTTTCTGAAGCTAATTAGGCCACGGAGTCTGCTGGAGTCCTACAGCCTCACTGCAGAGTAAAAGCCTTGTATATCCTTCATTCGGAGCAGTAACCACTTTGCTGGGAAAAAGCTGCTGCTGGGAGCACGTAGAGGCCGTGCGGGGGGTCCTTGGACACCATCCCTGTGTTTATGTGAAGAGCCGTTGCCTGGCTGTGCCCCCCGGGCTCGGCCACCTTACACGGACTGTCTGCTGGTCCTGGCTGGGCAGAGCCGGAGCACGCAGGGAAGGTGGGACCTCTCACCCATCCGCACGGCACAGGGAACAGCAGCTTCGTAGGAAAGTGACCTCCAGCGTTGCAGACATGCGTTGCCTTCAGCTTGTGTTAGCACGAGGCTTACAGCTTGCGGGGCTTTGCAGCAATGCCAAGCCTTCCCAGTGGAAGTCTCTGCAGCTTCAAAGACTTGCACTCATGTTCCCAAAATATTTGATATGTCTTTGTCAAAACCTTCTTTGCATCCCTAGCACCACACATCAGAGGTCTTGTTTATGTTGAGAACGTCTCTGAGGCAGCAGAGTGAAGTCTGGAGGTAGAGAAGAGATTAATTTTGATCTGAAATTTCCAAAGCTGCCCGTGTCCTGGGCTGCGTCCCCTTTCAGCCGCTTGGTATTTATCTGCCCTCCCCAAGGCATCTTTGGGTACACAACATCGTAGTTGCCACGGAAGCAAATGACCCAGTAAACATTTGGGGAAGGGCTATAATTGCCAGAGGACAAGTTAAGCTAAACTAACAGGGAGGCCAAGCAAAGAGCCTCTGGCGTGGTGGTTGTAGGACTACTGCCTGGTAGGAGGGCTCGGGCAACATTTCGTTATGTTACTTACCAGCGTGTGCGGTGGTTTTGAGTAGCCGATTAAACATCTGAGCTTTCTTTTTTCCCCCACTTTTTGCAGCTCTCCATGAATTCCCCAATGACATCTTCACGAACGAGGACAGGAGACATGGAGCTGTGGTCCTGCACGTCCTTTGTGTAAGTTTTGTGACTTTGCATTTCTTCTCCCATCGCTGCGGACCGGGCTCGGCGCGCTCACCGCGGCGGCTGCCACCTCCTGCCCAGAGGGGCTTCTCCTCTCGGTCCTGGTTGAGAGTGAGTTCCAGTAGCTACACCGAGTACGACATACTTTGGTTTTCCATAAACCCCTTTTAAAAGCCCCGCTGCAGCCCGTGAGCACAGGCACATGCTGTGATGTGAATAAACTCCTGCACGTTGGAGTTTCCTCCAGCCAAACTGGCTTTGGTGAGGCTGTCGGGCAGCTGTGGTCCCCTGCCTTCCACCCCTCAGCACGAGGATGCTGCGGGGTTGGCAGGTCAAAGGAGGACGTTCATCTAATTGCCTTCAAAAATAAGAGAAGTCTTCTCCCCAGAAATTTCCCCCCCAGATCCTTGTGGCACCCTTTATGACATAACTGTCATAGGAGAAAGAAATTAGAGAGGGTTTTCTTTTTAAAAAGAATGTCAAGTGGATTAATTAAAAAAAAATTAAAAAAAGTTTGGGTCTCCAGAATTCCTCTGAGTAGTTAAGTTGCTAAAGTGAGTTCTTCTTCCTGAATATATTAAAGGAAAGATCTTAACTTCTTATTTATCAGCTGCAGGGTTTCCTGGATCCTCTTGGGAATTCTGGAGGATGTCAGGCAGGCGAGGGATTTGCCTCAAAGTTCAGAAATGTGCCAGGAAGGCTTTAATAGATGCTATTTTAAAGACCTTACTAATTTCAGAAATCTGTGCAATTTTGGGCTTGGAATTTTGTGATCTCTGCCCCAAACAAGTCACTGTAAGTGGTACACATGGGTAAGGACGAAATTAAAGACAGGCAAGATAAATTTATTTAAATAACCCTGGTCAGTCAGTCCACTAGACACTTAGTGTTAGAGGACCTTGCATTCAGCAGCTGCAGTACTCTCACAAAGGGAAGCGCTGTCCCTCCAAATGTGCTCCTCGACTTTTGTTAGGTAGGTGAAGACAATTCTTTTCTCTTTTTTTTAAATGTCGTCTTAATTTAATAAGAACTGCCAAGTTGGTACTTCTTGGGGGGAAGAGGCATTCTTAAGCAGCCAAGAAAATACCTGCTTCTAATGAATGTTTAAAAGGATTTCATAATTTTTAGTCAGCTTAAATGAGCAGTCACTGTTAGCTGTGTGCAATGATTCATGATTTCTTTTTTAAGTATAAATTAGATTGTATTGCACATTGTAATGCGAGTGCTCTGTGTTATGATTTTATTTCGGCTGAATGGTTGCAATAATTTGTTGAGTAACGTCACTATTGACTTTGGCAAGCTCAAGGCTTCCAAGTTTCCATGGGAACGTTGAGCTTGGAGATGTTTTGGAAAGCGAACACTGGACCTGAGCTGGATTTTTTAGCACCCACAAGAATACTCGCAAAAATTCGTATAAACCCTCTCTCTAAGTAGTTTCATGCAGCAGGTAGTCGCCCAGAGTCTCTGGTGGACAGAAGGACCTTCAGAGGATCTTCAGCTCCTCCACTGTAGGTATGGGGGGAAGCTGCAGGCTGGGTTTCAGTTGCCTGGCTCTGGTCAAATGTGCTGCTCACCCCACGGGCTATGAGTCGCTTCTGCCCGGCGGCAGAGCAGGATTGTCTTAAGTGCCCGAGTCGGGGCTGGGGCTGGGCTTGAAAGAGGCACCGGGGATGGCGCTGGTGGAACTGAGGAGTGGTCCCAAGGCA